ATTTAGTAAAATCTATATCAGAAATCCCTAATAATGTAACAGCTCAATAAAAGGTGGCAAGTGAAATAACAAAGGCTGAAAAAGAGCTTAACGAATATGAGTAAATTTACAATATCACAACTAATTTTTAACTTTGCTATAATATGTATGCAAAAATAATAGATCTTAAGCTCAAATTAAGTCAATCAGGATAAGATTCTCAAGTTAAAAAGAAATGCAAAATATGTTCAAAATTGTAAAGAAAAAAAATAGAAAATACTTACTGAAAATCAAGAGGTTATACAATATGATAGATCTGATCATCCATCACTTCTTTCAAATATTCAAAATTATATGATCATATTCACAATTTGGTTAAATTTGGTTTAGCTGATGAGAAATGAAGAAAAGAAGTGGTGAAAGTTCAGGTCATCAAAAATTTGCATAAAAATATTGAGGAGAAATATAATGTTTATATAACGTAAATAACATTAAATAATTATCTGTTATCACGCCAATCTAATTCTATTGCTACAAGAGCTTATCACTATTCAGCATAGATTACAGTAACTGGAGTTTCATGAATGGAAATACACAATCATTCTGATGATCATTATTACCTTGCATCTGTTAAATATGCAAAGCAATTTGCATTTGTATTTGTTGATATGTCAGTTATCATCTCTCAAAATGATAAGGTAAAGATAGGTTTTAGAGTACCTGCTATAGATCAGACCTTTCAAAAATTGCAATCAACTTATGAATCTGTTTGTGTGGCTGATCACAATTTTCCTTTAGGATATGAACAAAAATTGGTTCTATCAGTTTATCTTATAATCAAACTGAATGATTCAAATGATAAATTATGAATAAGCCAACTTACTATTTTTGTAAGATGTTATGGTCTCTTGGTACATCCTCTCTTACATATATGCAAGTCCTCAAAAATCTCTCTTTAAATATTCAATACAATGATGTGTTAAAGATCAATGGAGAAATTTGACCAATCTAAGTTCTATTAGTAGATAGAGGATCAGATGAAAACTCAAGGCATTTAAAAATTATTAAATCATATTGCTATCTTTTTAAAAATTTAACTTAGATTACTTAACTGTAAGAATACATACTTTAGGACAATCCAAATATAATCTGGTTAAAAGAGGTATGGTGATATTATCTGGTAAATTAGTAGGCATTATACTACTAATCGATCACTTTAGAATACATTTAAATATGCAAGCTAAAGTGATAGATCTGAAGTTAACTCTTCAAAATTTTTGATATACTAGAGAAGCTTTTTGTAATATTTAGCATTATGATCTGATTTTTGAAAAAAACATTAATGTTCAATATGTTGAAGAATTTATCAATCCATTTGAAAACCTACAATTTTAGGGTACAGAAAAAGAAAAAATAGAAGAACGAAAATAACAAGAAAAATAAAAAAAGAAACAACAAAATGAAAAAGAAAATGACTTAACTGATTCCTTTGTACTATAGTTATAGATTAAAAATCATTGTAATCTGTACTAATATTTTCTTGATATTAAATAATATACGAATATAAGCTGTTATGATCCACCCTATGCAAAAGAAGTCATAGAATTCCTTCAAACAAATAATGGCTTCTTACCTTTTATTACCAAAGCCAAAGATGAATACTTTGCTAATCCAATACATTTTTTCGAATATTATGATCTTTTGAAAATTCTTAGTTATGATTTCCATTACTCATCTTTTGATCAAATAACATATTTGCATCTTTGTTGTTCTAAATATGATAAATATTTTCCAACTCTTACTTTTTTAATAAATTACAAATGAACAGTATACTCTGCTAGTCGTAGATGATCTAAGAGAAAAGGTAAAAGCCAAAACTTCACAACTCTTGATGATTTCTCTCTTCTCCTATTACAATAATTAAAGAAAATTTATCTTTCTGAAGAAATGTGTTTAAGGGAATGTAGGGAATGGAAAAATTCAAGTTTAGGACTTTAGAACTTAGTCTTTGATCTCAGTATTGGTAAGACTTAGTCCTAATTTTTAAGACTTAATTTAAACAATTCCAATTTGATCTTTATATAAATTTTAATAAATAATATAAATTAAAGTTTAATTTTACAGATATTTGCATATTGCAATTTAATTATAATTACATAAAATATGTAGATCAATTAGATTCTAATTAAACATTATATATTACATCTTTTTATTATCAAATTTATATTTTATATTATAAAATTATTCAGCAAAAATGGCTTATTTGAAATATGATTTTGAATAATTGAATGATATACAATAATAAATTTAATAATATAGAAATAAATAGTGATTTAAATTTGTAATATGTTAATTATAATAAAATTATTAATAATAATTAAAAAAATTACAATAAATTTAAATATTATAAACGATTGATTAAGATATTTGAATATAATACACATTTATGAATTTTAAAGGGTACTATACTATAAGGAATACATTGGTTTAAAGGGTGTATAATAAATTTTTAATAATCTAATAATATTGAATATTTAATCAAAAAGATGTTTTTTAAAAAAAATTACATATATGTGTTTACGTAATATTTGTTAAAATAGTTATTTACGTTATTTATGTTGTTTATTTAATAAAAAGAAAACGTGATCGCATTTTTAACAGAATTAAAAACTATATATAGAGGTAGTATCTGCAGGGGTAAAGATTAGGGGCATTAGTAGGTTAGGGCATTGGTGGTAAAATTAGGTTTTTTTGTGCGAAATATATGAAATTTAAGAAGATTTTTACTTCTAACAAAACTTTTTAACTACAGATCAGAATTTTAAAAGAAAAGTATCATTTAAAAGAGAAAAAAAAGTATATAATTTAGCATTATTACAATTATTAATAAAATGGAAATTATAAAATAATGTCAATTTAAAAAATGAAAAAATTATAAGTTTTTATAAAAATTTTTAAAAATTTTTTAAAAATATAATACTTTTAGAAGTATAATATTAAAATAAATATTATTTAACAGTTTAGACTCAATCTTGATTACAGTTCTAAATAAGTTATAGGACTTTTATAAAGACTAAGTCAGTTCATCCATATATCAGAACTGACAGGTCCTAGGACTTTAACTGAACTTTAGCAGACCTTCTATACCCTAAGAGATTGTATATTAGATCAAGATTGTTAATATTAATATATTGTAAAACTATATACGGTATAAATATTATATAATATAAATAAATAATGCTAAGCCACCATTGTCACGTGATTTATAAGTAATATGTAACCTAAGATCCCCTACTACCCCTCACCCCCTAAAATATTAGCTAATATATGTTACTTCCTAATGACTATTTATACATAAAATTTTTCAAAAAAAGATTGAAATTATTTTTATTTTACATATTATTATAATTCTTCAACTTTATTATCAAAAAGATACAAATCTATCAAATTAGATATTAAAAAGAAATTGTAATAAATGGCTAATACAAAGATAGATTGTGAATATAATGAATAGATATTTTATAAAACACAAATCAGCTTTACAAAATACAAAAATACAAGCAGAAGTTCATGTAGTTTCAATTGATCTAAAAGTTTGTATTTTCATTTACATAGTATTCTTTAATAAAAAATGCAGTAAAGATAGGAAATACAATATAGGTTGCAGTATATCTTTAAACACATCAGACTAGTATTTTCAATTTCAAATGAAAGAATAAGATAGCATTATATGTTTATAAAGCTATCGTTTGTATGTGATAAAATATCAGGATGAGATTCATCAAATTTTTAACTGATTAATTTGACATGATTGCTATTTCTTCTTTTGAGGTTTCAGATATGGTAAACAGGAAAACACGAAAGATAACAAGGAAAAAAGTTAGAATGATGCTTTGTTGGTCTCATTATGACAATTGATTCAAAAGCAGAAGAAAAGCGTCTGAGGAATATTCCTTCGGGCTTTGCTTGATGGATTTCTAATGATTATCCACGCGTTTTTTACGCTTCTAACTATAATAATAATTTTTGTTTTAGTTTGGCGAAAATGGAACATTTTTTTTTTTTGATTTCAATTTCAAATCGATTCAGGCGGGCCTAAACTGGACCGAATACCGGATTGAACCGTTAACATATTGCATACTGCAGTCGATCAGTTATTTATTTTTAAAATCAAATTTTTTTGGTTTTCAATATCCTTTCACTTTTATAAAAATTTGCAATTTCGAAGAACCAATGAAATTTTAATGAGACAACCTTATTTGTTATATAAATTGTTTGCTACGCCACAATGATCTGATATTCACGTTTGTATTTTCGTGTAAAAATGGGTTTAATTCAAAATATTGTTTTTAAAATTCTTTTTTTTTTATTTAAAAAAAAAATGTGAACAATGGAGGAATGTATCAAGTTTATTTAATACGGATTCTGCCCAAAGTTATTAAAAATCCTTCCACAGAACAAAATTCACTGCGCCACGAATACAACAATTTGAAATTACATTGTTAACCTCCTTTCCAAATTGCCCTTCGCCACTTCAATTCACCTTGAGTTTCAACAATGAAGATAATTCGTCTTCCTAAAATAAGTTTCACTAAGTCCACAAAATTCTACTTGTTTAAAAAGAAAAACTGTTTAGCGAAATTATTTATAGTATTGCATTAAAGAGTTATCAAACATGAATTTCATTACAAAGGTAACAACGATAAAAATTCAAAGGTCTTTAAAATGCAGGGATCGTATAAATAAAGTGTTAACAATAATCATTTGTTCAATCAATATCTGAATCGAAACATATATAACCCCTTTTTCTTGTAGCTTATCTTTTATAAATTATTATCACCCACTCTTTTGAAACAAAAAAGTGTTGTAAAGCCAAAACTCTGCCTTAATTTTTTTTTTTTGTTTTTGGAAACCTATGCTTTCCACACCACATTCCTTCATTTTTTATTTACCTTGATACTTTCCCTATTCTTTTTTTTTTTTTTTCTGATTTAATATAATAATAATTAGTATCATCATCCATGATTGCTCAAAGAAAAACGTGGAGAAATCAACTTGTTTCTCGAAGCAGCACTTCCCGCAGGACGGGTCCATGGGAGCCTGAGGTTTGTGGGTGGTTTTTTTTTTTTTTAAAAGCTAAAAATTCGGAAATAAATTATTCAGTCAGAGAAAATATTTTTTTTCCCTTTTTTTTTTCTTTTACAGGAGGATGAGCGATTATTGGCGATTGTAGCAGAATTGGGTGTGAAACATTGGAAGTTAATTGGAATCAGACACGGAATAAGAGATGGAAAACAATGTCGAGAACGGTATCTTTATTTTTAAAATTTAATCCATGCCTTCTCCATTCACCAAATTGTATTAATTTCGTGCATCTTCCTAAATTAAAAGGTGGCATAATCATCTCAACCCAGAATGTAAGAGAGACTCGGTTTCCTTTCGATCTAATTTCTGCATAGTAATTAAATTTCTTGCATTTATTTAATTGCACGATTAAAGTAATTTACGGACCCCTAACTCCCGAAGAAGACGAACAGATATTGACCTACTACTCTGAAATGGGAACAAAATGGGCAATGATGAGCCAATTGTTACGACGACCAGCCAATCTAATCAAAAATCGTTATTATTCTTCCTTGTCAAAAAAACGTGATCGAATGGTTTCTGACTCAGAAAATAGTTCATGTTGTTCTCCAAGGTCAAGAAAGCGAATTAAAGCAATTAATTCTTTTAAAGTTTCAAAATACGGTAATTAAAATTAATTAATTTCATTTTCGATTAGAATAAGAAAAGGTAATTTATTAATATTATCACGTTGATTAAAAATTTTATAGAAATAGCGCAGTTTAAAAAGCCGGGCAAAGTGAAAATATCATTTGATCAATTTGATCATCATAAAGTTTCCGAGCAACAAACGGATTATTACAGAAATCATATAGATATTCCTAAAACTCTGGCTTGCTCAAATGGTTCGACTTTCTTTGAACTATCAATGAATCAAGAACAAGTTTCCCTATTGACATCAACCTATACGCCTGTATCGTTACCGGAAAAAACTTTTTACCACGGCACGGCATTGGACCAACTTGCTGATTTAGCAATTAAAAATGCAAGGTATAAAGAAATTTCATAAAAAGAAATTTTTTAAGATATCATAATTTTTAAATAACGCTATTTTACTGATTTAGCAGCCAAGAATTTCACAAAAATACGAAAAAGTATGACATCATGTCAATTTCAGCCGTGTTAAATTAAAAGCTCAACAGTTTAAAAATATACATTTACGACAAATTATTTCTACAACATTTCATAACAGCATTCTTTTCAAATTAATGTATTTGGCAACAAGTGTTTTTTTTCCCGAACCGGTTTCGGTTTTTTCATTTCTCTCCTTTTCTCAAATAAGTCGATTTAATTAATTAATCTCTGATGTGAAAATGTACATTTCAACGAACTAAAATTAAGATCACGTTAAATAAATTAATACGTGACATAAAATTAAAAAATTTATTAAAATGTTTTAATAATAAAACGCGTTTTTTATGCAATTTAAAATCAATCATATTATTGATTTACGAAGATATGGAGCCAAAACTTTTGATTTGATGAGAGTTCTTTATAATTAATTGTGTTTTGCTATCGTCAAAGTTCTTCCTGAAATAAAATTGCGGGTATAGATGCAGTAGAAAGGAGCAAAAAAAAAAAAAAAAATCTTTTTTTTTTTTTGGAGTTAATGTTAAATTTGCTAAAAAAACAAATCATATTGAAACATATAAATCAAATTTACTAATAAAGGTCCTATTCGCGCGCGCAAAAAAAAAAAAAAAAAAACTATCGGCTTTATAAATTTCAAGTTAATAATAAAATTGTTTTATTGTAAAAATTTGTTCGTTTAAAAAATTACAAAGATTAAATTTTTAATAAACCGTAGTTGGCGAGAATTTTTAATGTTTCCGCGCACGTGACTACCACCGATTCCACCTTACTTTCTTTAACCAATTCTAACATACGTTTGTGCACTTCAGCCTTAACCAATAATTCCGCCTTGTCTTTATCCGAACTGACAATATTTTTAAAACATTCAATAGCCCTATGTTGAATTTCAGGAGAGTTTTCATTAAATAAATCTTTAAGGATTTGAATTCCATTTGGTCGATCCAGAATCATTTTACAAACATTAGGATCGGTTGAGAGAATGGCCAGAGCACCCGAAGCAGCTCTTCTCGTTTCAAAATCATCAACATCAGATAAAGCAACCAGAATAGTAATTTTATTAACATTACTATACAATTCAAATACGGGTTCACAAAACATCATATTACATAAACACTCTGTTGCCGCTCTACGTACCAAGGTATTTTCTGAAAATTGTAAATTCTCAATGATTGGAATTCCCTTTGAATCATAAATTCGCATCCTAATATCATTATCCACACTACCTAAATTAGTTAACGCCATCAACGATTCGAATTGACTTAATTCATCATCTCCTTGACATAAATTGAGCAAAGGACGAACAAGATCCGAAGATCGTTCACCTCTAAATGCCAAATTTGGATCCATCGTAATAGCAATTTTAGCTAAAGCTTGAGTGGAGAAATTCATTCCTTCTTTTGTATTACCATCTTTAGTGGCCAAAGGGATTAAAGTTTTAACCCCTCCTTGTTGTACGATCTTACCACGATTCATCTGATCCGTCGCTAGGTTCAAAAAATTCTTTGAAACTAATTGACGTATGATTTGACTTTGATTTCTTGATAATAAAATTAAAGATTGAATAACTCCTAATTTCATTATCTGTTTGATTCGATTCTCAACGTATTCATCCTCATCCAAAGGATTTGTTTCAAGTTCTTCAAGTTTTTCACCTTTCCTAACTCCACCATCAGCCATTTTCTTTAATTTTAATAAATGTTGATCATTTATACTTAACTTCCTCTTATATGATGTGATGTTTGATAATATCACGGCCACTCCATATAATAAATTATTATTTGATTTTTCATGTTCTTTAACAAGCTTAAAAATTTCTTTTAGTAAAGTAGGATGATATGCAATCATTTCTTTAACCGTAGGTTTTAAACTAGCGTAAGCCAATCCTTCAATAGCATTGGTCCTAACGTCAACATCTGATCCTGTATCTAATACCAAATTTTGAAATAATCCTGCCAATTCATTTTCATCATCTCCTTCACCAACAATCTTTTCGTTCTTTTCTTGATTCTCTTCACCAGGTAAAACCATTTTATCATCCAGCATTAATTTTGTTAATGTAATAGCCGCTAAACTTTTAAATTTTAAATTTTTACTTTTCATTAATTTACTTAAATATTCTTGACAATTTAATTTAATTAAATCTCTACATTGTTTTTGTGAACATGCTATTGATAACATTTCTACAATTGATTCTTGCACCACTTCTTTATCATATTCAATAAATTCCATTAAATCTTTTAAGGTTCCTCCTTCATCATCATCTTTATTTAAACAACAATTTCCTATATCATTTCTCCCGATATTAAATATCGCTGATAATGCTTTAATACCATTTAATTTTTCTTGTTGCTTTGTTGATTCGCTTATCCATTTTACTATTTGTTTCGTTGTGATTTCCTTTAATTCTCTTGATTGATTATTTTCTAATAATTTTGTTAATATTAATAATGATAATGAAGTGATCTTACGAGAGTTACTACTACCAAATTGTGATAAGAGCTTAAGGTATTCTGGTGATTTGACAAATGTTTCGTTAAAATTTTCTTCCTTGGAATTCACTTTTCGAAGAATAGAATTAAGATGACTAACTTGAACTTCTTCCGACGCACTTAAATCCATAATAGTGATTGATTTTTTTTTTTTTTTTTTTTCAAATTATATGACATGCATGATGATCTGACGATCAACGTTTGGGTCGGCGTAAATGATTTGCCCAAATTTTACATTCTCTTTATTAATTCGAGAGTTCAATTATAAGGTTTATCCTCCGGCGATTTAAAACATCATTATAAAGTTCAAACTGAATCTTAATAGAAAACTTTTAATTATACACTCAGTAAAACGTTAATTTTTTATACACGCGATACTCGTAAATATTCTTTCTAGACTTACGTGTACTGAAATTATTTGCATTTATTTCAATTTAAGGACAAGTAAAGTCACCGGTCACCTTAAAATAGAAATAATCATCTACAAAGTTTAAAGTTACATTTTATATTATAAGTAAAAATTCCGCATTAAATATAATTCATTGAATGCAAACTTTCATCTCGCTTAAATATAAAATTATTATTTTTTTGTTAATTATTAATAATATTTTCTCTGATCTTATTTTTTTTTTATAATGACATTGTGAGCATTTTATTATAATTTATTATATAAAAGGTAATTCATTAATAAAAAAAAAAGTTTTAATGAAACTTTTTGAATGATCATAATAATTGGCGTCTCAATTAAAATAGATTAGATTTTATCCGCCAAACTTTGATCAGATGTTCTTAAATCGGGGAATTTAATAAAGAAAGATTAAAAAAAAAAATCGTGACAAAATATCAAATAGAACAAATAATACTTTCATTTAACGTGAAATTATTTCAAGTTTTTCACATTCTTTTGCCAAACATTTTACTTAATTATACATACTTATTTTTTTCTTTTCAATCAAAAAAAACAAATGATAAAGTCTTTGAACAATGAATGAATAATATCAATAAATTCTTTTTTTAAGTATCATCAGTCAAAAGCTATATAAACCTCTACTTTTCTTTGGTTTGATGGAATAAAAGTGATTTTCATAAATGAACAAAATAAATTGCGACTTTTTCACAAATGATAAATAAATAACTGCGCCAACCAATCGATATTTCTTATTTATATATCAAATACCTTCAGTTCTCTTCGTTCTTCTCACATATTTTCAATAAAAAGAAATTTATTAAAAGTCTCATTCCGTTGACTCGCACACGTCCACTTTGCCATCAAATTTATGTTGAAGCTCTTATTTTATACGGCTGAAAAACTATTTCACAGAATAACCTACCATAAAATAAGGAAGGAAGGTATATTCCCCATGCCTTTCCTCCTTTACGCCAAGAAAAGCAATAATTTCAATTTAATGAATATGAAAATCAATAAAAAAATTCATACGAGTGCTTTTGCTCATATGATTCATTACATGAACCTCACTTACGGAAAATGTCTGGAATCGGGGTTTCAGACATTTTCTGTATAAATATAAATAAAAGAAATTTTTTTCACAAAATAGATTTCATTATTGTTTCTTTAAAACACGCGATTTTCTTGTACATTTCTTAAAATATCCATCGACCCTTTTTTTTCTGAGATTAGATTATTATTCTATCTAAAAAGTTATTAATTTAATAAAATAAAAGTAAAATTAAAATCTTGTGTAACAATAATATGTGCTTATGGATGACAAAGAATACGCTATGTTTGGGTAATAATTTGACCATCAAATACTTTTACAGTTAATAATAAATTTAGATACGTATATTAACTTTCAATTTCAGAACGAAAAAAAAATTAAAATCTTGAGAGTAAAAAAAAATTTTGCATGGGAACAAATTACATGATCATTTCAGGACAAGTATACTAAAGCAAAGTAAAATAACAATATTAATTAACAAATGAATCACTTGACCTTTGATTTCGATTGAAAATCTTCGATTGATCGTGCGTTCAAATATATAGAAAAGTTTTTATAATTTTTAATTCTTATGTTGTTTGATGATCATTCGGAACTTTGTTTCGCCAACTAGGTTATATAAATATTAATCCATTAGCATTGTCATTACTTTAGTTTGAAATTGTAATCTTCAATAAATTCCCGAAATAAAGGTTATAAAATTTATTGAAGATCCTTTTTTGGATTTGTTCTTTTAAAAAAATTTGTATTCTCCCCCCCAAAAAAGTGAATCATGAGGTTATTAATTGACGCAGCAAAAAAAAAAAAACTGTGACTGTGAGAATCTATAAATATTAAAGCGTTACACGACCATTGGTTATAAAAGTGTAATCAGTCCAAATTTTCTTTCAAATTTTCTTTAAATTTCCTTTAAAAAAAAAAAACGAAGAAAAGAAAAAAGAAAAATGACTGGTAATAAAATAACGCAATTAACCTACCAAATGAATATATCAAATTCACTTGAAATGAAGGAAGATATATATAGTCCCATATTTAGTACAGGAGATAATATGTTATGGCAATTATGGTTTGTTCCATTAAATAAAAATCCGGTGAATAATAAAGAATATTGTTCAATATATATATTACCAGTGACAAATCCAGATGAAACTTCCTGGCGAAAACGGTCAAAATATTCTATTAAATTATTTGTCAAGGAAATTAAAAATTTTCAAACTTATAATTTAATTTCAAGTAATAATGAGTTATCCATCTCCCCTGACACTAAAATCGAAAACGGTTTGTTTAAAATTATTATCATTTTGTAAAAAAAAAAAAAAAAAAAAAAAAAAGTAAAAAATAAAATAAATAAATAAATTTTTTTTTTTTTATTTTAGGTTATGGTTATCCGGAGGCATTCGAACGAACCTCAATTTATAATGGAGAGTTAATCATTAGTGTAACATTTGATAATTTCGAATATAAAGATAATAAACAATATAATAATAATGTTTCACTTGATCCACTTCCAGAAAATCTGGTAGAAGCATGGAAGAATCATTTATTCAATATTCAACCTGTTGATGTGGAATTTAATGTACAGGGAGAAAATTTTTATGCTTGTAGTTCAATACTTATTCAACGATCAAAATATTTTGAAAATGCTCTATCGGGTATATGGGCTGAATCAACGGTTGATCGTCAAAGTGAAGTTGATAATAAAACGATTCTAGTATCTGATGAATCTGATGAAGATTTTAATCATGTGAATGAGAGGAAAAGTGATTCTGAATCAAAGGAAGAAAAATTAAAGTATCAAATTAAACATCGAATTAATATATCAGATTATAAACCATTATCTTTTGCAAAAATGTTATCATACCTTTACACAAATCATATTGACTGGGCCACTTCCAACAACATCGTAGAAAATAATATTTCTTTCACGATAGAAATCTATTGTATAGCAGATCGATATTTATTAACGGATTTGTGCCAAAGAGCAAAGAACAGAATATTTGAAGAATTAACTATAGATAATGCGGCAGAAATCATGTTTCGTTTAGTACCAAAATATGAAGATTTAAAAGAACCTATCCTTTCATTTATGGCTGAAAATTTTGAAGCTGTTTGTAACTCTAAAGGATTTAAAGACGTTTTGGCGAATCCTAATGATTATACTTGTTATAATCAGATTATGTCTGAAGTTTTATCTAATCATTTTAAGATTCAAAAAGCTAAACTAAACAAGTAAGGAAAAAAAAAAAAAAATAATTAATTAAGGAACGAATCGATTAATTTTGTATTTTTGAAGTTGAGAATAGCTTGATTAACAAAAAAAAAATTTTTTTTTTTTTTTTTTTTTTTTTTTTAACTTGAAATCAAAAATAAATAAATAAATCTCAGGCAAAGTACACAGACACAAATAAACAATCTTCACGGAATTGGATTACCTCAGATAAGACCCCATCCCGGTATACAAGCAATGGCATTGGTAAGACCTCCACCATTGCCTTATAATCCTTCTGTCGGATTTAGACAACCTCCAATGAATAATCAATCAAATTAATCGAATTCTTGCTTGTAAAGAACTTTTTATGCATTGAATATCTTGTACTGCATTTTATTTATAAAATAAATTTTATGAAATTACGAATATCTTAATACATTTTTGGAGAAATGATGCCCCAATTTACCAAACTTGGCTATAGACCATTACACATGATGTAAAGTTTAAATAATAAAACGTGGAATCCAAAATATAATTTTAAAAATATTTTTAATTGAAAAGGGAGCGCCATTGATACTTTCGAATGATGCCTGTAATGTAACTATGCAAAAGAAAATAAGAATGCCAATTAGGAGGCAAATATATCCAAAAGGAAACTTATTAATCTATCTATTTATCTATTTATTTATCTTAAATCTTTTTCGTATTCATTCAATCTTTTCCTTAAGAATACTCCCAAACGGAAAGCTAAAAAAAAAGATCAAAATTGAAAATAACCGATGCTAAATAAGATTTCTCCCGTCATTATATGCTAAGCTAATCGGCATTACGAACAGCGGTAACGAAACGAACACAAGAATTTTTATCCACTAAATGGTCGAAATACACAATAAATAGACCCTTAAGTAATTTCTCCATAAATGAAAAATCGATAAAGCAGATCAATCACCCGCCGTGAATTCTACGCCAACGAAAATCATCACGCATAACTTCGATGATTTCATTCTTTACCTTTTTATCCTTATGAGAGATCTTTGAGTTGAAAAAGTTTTCATTCCACATATATCCTTATTTTGTCTTCCTTATATGATCGTTTTATTGTAACATGGATTTTTAGTATATAAATGTAATACTAAATCTAAATGAGTTCTTGTTAATAAAAAGAAAATAGAAATAACTACCTGTTTCCATTGTGACACGTGTAAATTTTTTATGTAAGTTATTTATACTAAAAAAATGATCGTGATGTTGGATAAATAAAACATAAATTCTCAAATATATATATATATTTTTTTTATTTATATATATATGTGTATATATACTCACAGAATTTTTAACTTTGCTTTTTTTTTTCAAATGATGTTCTCAAGAGAAACTTTTATTCATGATGCTGAATTGGAAATCGTCGTACCAAATGATATATCAAAATGCAATGAAGAAAATATTGATGATCTCTTTTACGCTCAACAAAGAACTCAAACTTATTATGGTAAATTTTTTTTTTTTTTTTTTTTTTTTATAAAAAAAAATTATTTTATTTATTTTTTTGTGTAACACTTTTTATAGATGAAATCCTTCATTTTTATCTGATAATAACTCTACCTCCCGAATCAAATCTCGTGAATAAAAATGAAGCAATTAATTTCTTTAAAAAACTCGACGTTACGTTAGAAACAACCTTAACTGGTACAACAAATTATTTATCGCAATTAGAATATCGTAATCCTTCACCATTATCCTCTATTAGTGGATATGATACAAGATCGAGATCAAATTCAGATGCTACATCTCCTTCTATACCTGGTACTCCTATTAGTATTTACAGTACAAATTCTACGTGTGATAAAAGAATTTCTGGTAAAATTACCGATGGAATTATTATTTATTCTGCTCAATACAATTCAAAGAAAAATAATAATAATAAAATGGTGGTGGTTGAAAGAAATGATTGTTGGATTTGCGTTTTGCCTTTATCTTTTCCTGTGGGTAAGTAATATTTAAGGGAAAAAAAAAAATTTTATAAAGTTCTCCAATTTATTTATTTATTTTTTGAAGTTTTTGCAAAATCGGGTGTTCAAAGTCCCGCGATTGCATTAAACATCACTGTTACACAAATCCCGGTTTCTAGAGATTCAGATTTGTATTCCATGGAAAATTTCGGAATAAACTTGCTAGAAGGCTTAAATGATGGTAAATATTCAAAAAAAAAAAAAAAAGTAAAACTCAGATTTGGTCCCAGAAAAAGGGAAATCAATTAATCCTTCCTTTCTTAACTTTAGATCCTGCATTTGAATCGTTGAATGCGTCATGTTTAATTTCAGCGTCTCAACTAACGTCGACAAAACGAACAAGCATTTATTCAGCATTACCTTCAACACCAATTAAAAGGTGCTCTCGTAAAGTGCTTACGGTAAAACCAGCATTAAATGTTCGTATGAGAACTACAAGCATCTCGCCATTGGAAAATTCCCTAATGATGTCCATTGAATTAGAAAACAATATTGAAAACAATAGTGCTTTCACTATTGAAGATGTAAAAGTTGAAGTTACCCGTGGTTTTGTCACCAGATATACCTTCAATGTAAAGTATAATATTCTCACGCGATTGTTTGTTAAACAGCGCCAAATGACGCCTATATCTTTTTTCGTTTCCTTTTTTAGGAAAAGTATCCAATATCATTACAACCAGTGGATCAAGTAACTTTCTTGTATAGCATAACAATTTTAGACGATCCTCCAGCACCAATTCATTCATTAAATGCGTCACAAATCGAAAATAGACCCAGATCCCTTTCAATAACAATAAAAGGATGTCCCATGATTGACGGAGTTAAATCAAAGTGTATAGAATCAAAATGGAACTGCACATTAGATTTACCAATTCGTGATGATTTAATGGCTTTGTCTTATTTTGGAGGAATGAAGTCTCCATCAACTTTATGTACAAGAAGTTCAATTAATTTACCTAATACTCCTCATAGCTTTCACAGAATTATAGATGATTCGTCTATTTCAAAAAATTTCTCTTCTGATGTTGATGGAATTAATGGAATTCTATCTAATGGAAGATTACCAATTTTACAAAAACGGAGCAAGAATATGGATGTTTGTGATGACGTTGTTGTCTCCTTTGTAGGTAAGTAGTAACACGGAGGATAAAATAAATTTTGTTTTTAAAATATTAATTTATTTTTTCCTTAGTTGACGGTAACCCTGTGGTAGGTAAAATATTTATCGTTAATGCATCTATAGTAAATAAATCGAGCCATACTAGAAGTTTTACTATAATGATTCCAAACAAAAAACGATCTAATGAAAAGTGAGTTAAATTAATCCTCAACCTAAAATATCAATTAAAATTAAAATTTAAAGCCTCGCCTATTTTATCTTATAGGTCACTAAAAAGTCAATCGCAACTATCAAATAAAACTTTGTTAAATACAGAAACGAATATGACTTTAGTTAAAGATATAAAACCTTTAGAAAATCCGTTCATGGATGAAACAGAATTTTTAAGAAAACATTTGGAATTCGAAACCCCTGATTCCGATTTAATTTGCTTAGATAATAATGTCAGAGTTAGGTAAGTTGAAAGAAGAAAAAAGCATCATTTCGAAAAAAAATTTTGCTTATAATAAATTCTAATTTAGCCCAATAAATCCATGCACGAGTGAAACAGTAACATTGCATTTTATATCAACAAAAGAGGCATCACATTTCATTGAATTAATACAACTAGTTGATAATGATACTGGATTTATAACGAATTTAAGAAAAGTTATTCAAGTTTATGTTGAAAAATCTTGCAATGCAAGAGATGAAAAAAGATTCGATTAAAATTCTGTTGTCTTTAAACATATCGAATTTACGAGCTAAATGAAAATTTTCGCATACTATCAAAACGGAACATCTATCTATAAGTTGGCAAATTTGGCAAAACTACTTCTTTTAACAAACATATGATTCAAAAAATTAAGATTCTTTTTCACGTGAAAAATCAATTAAGCATCGCTTTTGATCTCCAATTACGGTAAAATGTCGTAAAAATTATATCATTTTTAACGATTTATTGATATATAATATAAATTTGTTCTTTTTATTTTTAATATATTATTAAGTATATACAAAATTTTCAACTTTACAGTAATTTTATTTTAGATTTTTTACAATGTTTTTTTTTAATAATACAAAAAATTAAAAATGTTAAACATTAGCATTTATATATAAAAAGTTACTAATAAATGTAATTTTCTTAAAAAGTGGTATATTAAGATTAAAGTATAGTATACCACTTAGATGAGATTATGACTATTACCTCAAAACCTAAATAATCTAATATTCATGACCTAATTATCATGATATAACCTAGTATAAGAAATTGAAAAATTTTGGATAGTCTTAGACAATTTTAGACACATTTTCTTATTTTCAAAACCTTGTCAAAATATTTAAAATCAAAAAATATATCCAAAACCCAATACTGATATTAACTTTACATTCTCATTATTTTATTGTTGATTATCTTTTTAGCATTCTAGTTATTTATTTAGTTCTTTTTTATTATTTATATTTATAAATTGTAATGATAATATTAATATTTTTATAATTTAACTACAATATCATACTATTTATAACCTAACTGTATTATTTTTCTTTTTTTTTTTAAATACTTAAGTTTATTATTATAATCCTTATATTATTAATTATTTGACTTGATTTTGATTTGTTCTTCTAATTCTTACAATATTGATTATCTATCTTATTTTAAGTTCATTTCTGTAATTCTTTTATTGTTAATACTTTAAAATCATTTAGACGTTAAGTTTAATATTGAAAATGTATAAAGTTCTAAAAATAACTTACATTTTGACTTATATAATTGTAAATTTTATTTAAATAAAATCTAACTTAATATATAATACTTTAA